GGGGGAAGTTTGGCCTGCTCCTCGGGATCCTTCATCAGCCTGGGAAGCCTCAGGTTCCGCCTCGCCCACCCAGAGGTGTAGTTCATCGCCTTAAGAGCACGCGCCAGCCGCCGGCATAGGAGCCTTTGCATCCGTTGTTGGCCCATGTTGTAGTACACGGACATCTCCCTTCCAAAGTACTCTTGGCCGGCGGGGGAGTTCATTCCCCAATCCTCGAGCTTGGCGGCCACAACTTCATAGCACCAGGGGAGCCGCTCGTCGGCCTTCCAGCCCTCGGTCAGGAACTTCTGGACGGCCTCATCAGCGGCCTTCACAGCAGCAGCCTCTGCTTCGATCTTAGCCTTCACGGCCTCATCAGCCCTGTGCCGCTCAACCTCAAGTGCCCTCTGGCTCTCCGCAAGCTTGGCCAGGGCATCGTCCTTAGCTGCAGCAGCCTCATCGGCTCTCTTCTGCAGAGCTTTGGCATCCTCTCGAAGCCGATCCAAGCAGGCCACCGCCTCATCGGCCGAGGCAGCCTTTTGTTCAAGCTCCTTCAGGCAAGCAATCTCCCGTTGCTGCCTTTTGTTGCTCTCCATGAGCATGAAGGCACCCTGCAAAACAAAAGCAAACCAAAACTCAGGCAAAGACTTCACACAGACGACAAGGGAGACAACAAATAAAAGGGAAAGGAACTTACTTGGACGATGAGGTCCATCCCGCCTTCATAGACCTTGACATCCCCGAGTTTCTTGAGGTAGGCCCGATCCTTGGCCGGCATGGCCTGGGCGAGCACATCATGGCCGTCAACGCCATCATCGAAGACACCCCCGCCAACGGGGTACTCTACCACTTTCTGGTAAGTGGCAGTGGCAATCTCCTTGCCAGCCCGTTTCATCCGAGTCTCCTGGACGAGAGGGAGCGGTTGAGCAACGCCGCTGGAAGGAGCAGCGGAAAGATCCACAATGACGGTAGCAGCGCCAGAACCACCATCGTCCACATTTGGGACGGTTAGGACGCCGACCTCATCGGCCAGGGAAGGAGACGGCGCCCTCTTCGTCTTCTTGGCGAGATTAAGACCAGCCTCGGTCAGCTTCTTCTGGCCGTCAGTGGGAGGCCGCTTCTTCTTTGACTGGGCAGGCTTCGGGACCACACCAGCAGCAGCCCTGCATCCCTCGGCCGCGGCACGCCTCGCCGCCTCGGCCGCCTTCGCAGCCAGCTCCTCGGACGCCTTGGCTTTGGCTATGGCCATTATCGAACGGCGATCCATCACAAAGTCTACACAAAGGAAAATAAACAGGTTAGAAAGATAAAGAAACAAAAAAAAAAGAAGAAAGTTGTAGGAAGTATTACCATCAGCCTCAGCAGGAATGCCCAAATCCGGGCCGTCGGCCTCCTCAAAGGTGGTAGTCATCCTCGGACACAGTTGGACATCGTCCTCCTTGTCACCATACACATAATATCTAAAGAAGCCGATGGCGGTCATCTTATACTCGGTGATGTAATCTTTTACGCTCCTCGGCCCCCCGTCCAGGAACGCCTCCACCTGAGCGTCCAAGATCGAACTCTTCGGCGGGTCGTGCAGATTGAACCTCCCAGTATGGCCGACGGAGGGGAATTCAGTGTCGTTCTCACCAAGGGAAACGAAAACAAACTTACTCTTCCAACCATGGATGGACGAAGGCAAGTGCGTGAAGCTCCTCTTCTTCGGCAATTGTTGGAGGGTAGCGTAGGCCGCACAGTTCTGGTGGCTTCCTCGGCCAATCTGGTAGAGGTTCATGAAAAGAGCTGTCGTCTGCTTGTAGCCCAACTCTTCACAGCGCAGCAAGAATCCCACCATCAACGAGTAGCTGTTCGGGGTCAGCAAGGCCGGAGGAAGTCCCACCATGTCCAAATATTCCGTGATGAAGGGATGAAGGGGAAATCTCAGCCCCTTGGCGAAGCTCATCGGGTACACTCCGAAGTATCCCGGCGGCGGATTAAGTACATGGTCCGTCGGTCTGGGTGCCCTGACTCTCCCGAACGGCCCCACATACATCTGCGCGACTAGGTAATCGGCCGCGTTGCTTTCCGGCTTGATAAGGTAGATGTTCGTGAGATCCAGATGGGAGTACCCTGGCCCACTCCTCGGCCTCCTTATCCTCTTCGGCCTCTCTACTCCCTTCACAGCGGACACCGGCTTCGGGCAAGGAATAGCAGTGGAAGTGGACGCCCCGTCCACCACTCGGGACGCACCTGCGTCCTCGCCTTTCGAAGACGAGGCAGACTCCTCGTCCTCACCCTCGTCGTCCTCCGGCTCTCCGGACTTATAGGGGCTCAGACGCTCTATCTCCTCCTCAAACTCCTCAAGCACCTCGTAGTCAAGGGACCTAGTGGAGGGCTGGTCGTCGTAGGGGTAGTACTCCTCGTCCAGGCTCTTCATCTTACAGCTATTAACGCCCTAAAGGTCTCTACTTTGGATCTAAGTGTGAATCCCCTACTAACACCAGATCAAAGGCCCAGGAAGCAAAGTATACGAAATATGAAAGGAACAGGTGAAGAACTGACCTTTGAATATTTGAAGAAACGGAAGAACACTTGAACAAACACCTCAGAGACTCTCTCTCTAGAAATTTCAGCAGCACTTCGTGGGCACAGATTGCAAATGAGGTTACCGCGTCGGAAGGGGAGGGTTATTTATAGACCTCCTCTCCAACGGTCACTACACGTGGCACCATATCAGTGGCCACCTCAGCGGTCACCTTCCCAGCAGCCAATGAGGTGCCACCCCTTCAGAAATGGGCCGGGCTCGTGAACTAACCTACTGGCGGAGTAAAACCCTACGGATCACACGGACAACAAACGCCCACAACGGCCTATACGCTTGCCGGCTCCACAATGCCAGCAAAGCACCCGCAACGGCCAAGGCACCCAATGCCTCCACAGCGATAAGGAGATGACAACGGCTAGGAACGTCATGAACGGCTGTAACGGCCACAGAACCAAAGGAACAAAGAACCCGCAGCCATCGGCCTTCGTAACGACCCCTGATGATGATAACTCTTTACAAGCGATCTGCGCACAAGGGTTCTCCCACAGGGTTACCTTGGCCAGAAAATCGCCATAAGGGTTGGATTCAGGGGCACCATGGAGAGGCCGCTTCGGCCAGGGACTCAAGCAACTCCTTCACTCCTCACTCTCTTCGGCCTGAAGCAGTGGGGGACTGGGGGACTACATCGGCCTCGACAATACAGACAAAGGAAAAATGCAGAACACAAATGTAACCACAAAGCGTGGCCACATCGTCCACATATCACAACGGCGCCAAGGTTTTCGTGACTCCATCTCCTCAGCCCGGTACTTTGGACAACACGGCGCCTCGTCGGTCAAAGGCACATAACACCATCACCAACGGCCAACGGGCCACCTAAGGCAAGGACATTCATCGTCCTCCGCCAACAGTTAATCATAATGGGCTCTTCGGCCAAGAACATGAAAGCCAATCAGCGACGGCCAAAAGGAGTGCGCAAGCACCCTCATCGGCCACCCATAGGAAAGGACGCCATCGTCCTCGAAGCAAGGTTCAACCTCAACGGCCTCACCGGCCCAAATATAAATCTCAACCATCAACGTCCAAGAAGGGGAAAACGCGTCTTCAACGGCCACCATCGAAGCAGGACACTCATCGTCCCCAGATGAACACACCAAGGAAACAACGGCCTCCTCGTCCACAGCGAGGAACAGCTAACGGCCTGGGAGTGCCCGCATCGGCCAAAAGCACCAAAGCACAGGAATCTACTCTCCTTCACTTCGTCTACGTCTCAGCTTAGAGAGTGGGGGACTCCTGATGGAGTATATGGGTCTGAGCCCCAGGACCCACATACTCAGAAGAACAGAAAGCACAAGACACTGAGTGGTTCCCTCGTCGGCCAAGGGACCCCCATCGGCCGGAAAGGTACCAACTCAGAATATGGTCCTGAATCCAAGGAACCCGGGTGCCCGCGTCGGCCGCGCCCTCGTCGGCCGTGCCCTCGTCGGCCACGAAGACCTCACAGAACCGGATTTTACACTTACTCATTTGTACAGCCCATTAGTGGCTTTGTATTCGGCCCAGTAGCGGTCCAGTTGTAAATGGGCCTCCCAAGCCCAAGGCTTGGGAGCCCAGCCCGTATTTTCTCTATAAATACTCCCCTTGGGAGTAGTTATAGGGGTTACAAATTCATTCTATTGAAGCATATTATTGCACTTCTCTCTCTAGCTCTCACTTCTCTCTAGATATACTCTATCAGAAAGTGTAACAAACTTTAAAATACGGAGGAAGTATCTTAATGTGATAAGCAATTACACAAATATTGTTATAGATCTTACTAATGTTGATAAAATTGACCTAGCATCAACCATGTTGACACACCAGGTTCAGATTGACCCATGATCGAGTCAGGTGATTACTTGATCGGGTCATTTAACAGTTGTATTTTTTATAACATAGTCTGACATACTCCTCATTGTAGGATGTTTTTACCTGCACTATTTTCAGCCCCAGATCATACTAGATCAAACAAGACTAGACTTGAATAATTATAAAATACACAGAAACCAAACATTTTTCAGACCAGACATGTTCAGAGCAGACGAGACGAGATCAGACAACTTCAGTCCAAATAAAATCATCCTTACACAAAAAGTAATAGTCCTATTGTGACACTTTTCCATATGTTTTGGTGCTATTATGAGAATTTACTCTAAAATTTATCAAATCAACGTTATATAGTCATGATTCAAAGAAGATAAAATAGTGTGAGGATAATGGCGACCTGGTTCTAAACATTCAATTACTATTGAGAGCGACCATGTTAGTAAGGTCATTTGTACTGGTTGAATTATCACATCTCTAATATGTTCGATGGTCAATAGGAAGACTTTTGATGACTTTGAAGTTCCTAGAAGATTAGAGGAGTTTTAGCCGTTGGGTTTTTGCTATACTTATCCCACACCGTATTTGGAGAAGCATTTTGTATTCTTAATAAACGGAATGTAGACACCTAGGGTCACTGAGTTCAGTAACGTGGACTTGTAACCCAAGTGGGAGTATTAAGGTGATGGAATGTTTGGCTTGCTGATGGGCTGGGCCAGGGAAGTATAAAACTGTGCACCCGTTCCAATCTCAGAGGTGGCCATGAGATCTCTTCGAAAGTTGAGATACAGTGGCCATTAAAATGGAGGGTAATGCGTGAGGCTGGCTTCACAGAGCAGCGAATACTTCCCTCTCTTAGCAGTGGAAGGATAATGTTCGGGTACTCCTCTGGCCCAATAAGTTCATAAGCATACCCAATTGAGACCATCATTTTTTTAAATTTAATTAATTATTCAATATACTAATACTACTTATTGATCATTATTAGTGATACTTCTTTTTTATTAAAAACACTTACAAGAAAATAATTACAATACTTCAAACTTTGCAGGAATATGACATAAGTATCCCAAACTTGCACATGTAATATATCCCAAACTTGCACATGTAATATATGTACTCCAATTTTATATATTTTCTATGGCAAACACCCCAAACTTTGCAGGGACATGACATAAGTAGGGTTGTCAGTCTCATTGTGAGGATTTGGACTTCTTTAACATTCTTTGGGGGCTCCATATCCAGAATTGCTTGACCTTTTCTGGGTTGGGCTCAATGCCTCTATGTGTCACCATAAATCCCAGAAATTTTCCGCCTTAGACCGCAAAAGTACACTTCTTAGGATTGAGTCTTAGATTTACCTCTTTCAAAATGTTGAATATTTCTTTGAGATCATATGCATGGTCACTTGCCTTTTGACTCTTGTAAGGAATAATTGTAATTAGATTTTGATGATGCTATATTAATTAGGACTTTAGAAGTACCCCTTTTAGAAATTATGTATTAGAATTTTCCTTTGTAAAATTCTTAGATGTATTCGACTTGACAGAAGACCTTCAAGAGCAGAAGGGCTTCAAGAACAGAAGGGCTCCCAGAGCAGAAGTGCCTCTTAAGGTTTTATTGAAACAGAGGACCTTTGGTTCTCTGCTCCAGAACAGAAGTCCTCAGGACCTCTGTTAGTCTTGACTCTGACAGAAACCCTTCTGGGTCTCTGTTGGATACTCCCAACAGAAGTGCTCCAGACCTCCTCTATTCTACTCTCAGACAAGGACACCAGAAGGCCTGACACTTAGAAGATTTTCAAAGAACCGGGAAGTCAACTTAAAGATTCCTTCAACGGCTAGGAGTATGAAACGGAAAAGCTACAGTGCATGCATTAAATGCTCATTTAATGCACCCCATGCTACGTAGAGTAATTGCAGATGATTGGCCGCAATGTCAGGAATACTTTATCCCAAAATAGTAACCCGCCAACCTTACCGGGCTCTACTAGTCAAGTCAACTGATCGCTCATTTAATGCAGTTGTCCTCCTACTCCTCTAACGGGAAGACAACCTCGGTATAAAAGATACACTACGAAGAACAACCGGATAACTTTGCCTACATAATTTTGCTACAACTTTGCTAACCACAAGCAAGATATTCAAACTCTGAAAAGCAAATAGCCTCCTTGAGATTCAAACTCAATATCTTCTACAAGAGAAGGCAGAAGTTGGAAAAATACTCTTTCCAACTCAAGCAAAGTTCCAAGTGTTCTTCAACTCTTCAAGCTCATCACATACAAATATTTTGTAACGAAGCTAGTTGGAGGAACCTCAGTTTCAACAGAAACTCTTCTTGCTACAAGAAGGACGTCCAAATAACTGGAGTAGTGAAGTGGTGATACTTCAAGGAAACTCAGTGAAAGGACCAGTGTTAAAGGAAGCCAGGCAGTGCATCCCAGGACACATCTAGGCTTGAAGAAGACGTGGAGTGCTTCTTAAGTGCTAGGACTAAGGCTTTGTAAACGGCAGTTTTTACAGCTTAGTGGAACAGTGGATTAGAGGAACGAGTTGTTCCTTGAACCACTATAAAAATCCCTGGTGTCGTTTACTTACTGCTTTTAATACTTGCACTTAGATAGAACTGTATAACTCCTTGGACTTGGTATCTGTGTTCAGCAGAACTGGTTCTACGAGTTAACAGAAGGCCTTCTGCCTTTGCTTCTCTGAGGCTAACAGAACTCCCTGCCAGAACCCCATCCGCTGCCAGTCTGTTCTTTCAACAGAACAGGCTATTCTGAAAATCTGGTACTTAGTTTAAAAAGCTAAAAACCAATACAGTCTATTCACCCCCCCCCCCCCTCTAGACTGTATCCAGTATAACCGGGACCAACAACCCTTAACGGTCATATCATCAACATGAGCCTTCATGTTTCCCCCTAGCACTGCTCGAAAGACCTTGGCTACCATCCGGGTGTAAGTGGCTCCAAAGTTTCTCAATCCGAAGGCCATCACCAAGTAGCAAAAAACTTCTTCTAGTGTGATAAATGAGGTCTTCTCAGCATCATCGGGTGCATGGAGATCTGATGGTACCCCCCTGAATGCGTCCATGAAAGAAAGGAGCTCGCATCTAGCGGTCTGATCCACCAGTTGATCTATGCTAGGCAAAGGGAAAGGATCCATTAGGCAGGCCTTGTTGAGATCTGTATAGTCCACGCACATCCTCCAGGTTGGCAGCTTAAGGGCCAAGACTATGCTGGCAAGCCACTCTGGATACTGCACTTCTCTGATATGTCGGATGCCCAACAACATGTTTACTTCCCCTTTGACAAATTCTTTCATGTCCAAAGACAAGTATATTATCTTTTGTTTTATGGGCGTCGTCTTTGGATCCACGTTCAATCGGTGAAGTGCTATGCTTGGGTTTAGCCCAGGCATATCCTCAGGCCCCCAAGCAAAAACCACCTTGAATTCTGTCAGGACCCGGACTATCCTTGCTCTCATGTCGGTCGGAAGCCCTGCACCAATCTTGACCCGGCGCTCTGGCCGGGAGGGATCGACTCCGACCTCCTCAAGCTCTGAGATGGGCTGAGCTCTGAACTGCCCTTCCTCATATCTGGATAAGTCCTGCTCAATAGCATTGACCCTTATATCGTTACCCCTATGAGCCTTGCAAGCTCTAACATAACAGCTTCTGGCCATCTCTGGTCTCCCTTCACCGTGCCTATCCTGACCGGTGTATAGAACTTCATGCATAGATGAGCCTGGGAGATAATGGCTCCCAGGTCCTCCAGCAGAGGTTGGCTTAGGATGCCCTTGTGCACACTTGGCAGTTGGATCACGACAAAATCTGCTTCAATCACCCGTATGCATGGTTCCGATCTGAGCTAGATCTTGAGGGTGATTATCCCTTCTGGTTCGATCGTGTCTCCGGTAAAAACCGAAAGAGGGGTTTTTACTGGTCTGAGAGCTCCCTTCTGGAGTCCAAACTCCAGGAAAGCGTCCATATACAGTATATTGACCAAGCTGCCGTTGTCCAAGAGCATTTTATGAACAAATGCATCCACGACTTCCATCTTAATCACCAAAGAACCCCTATGAGGAGGGGGACATGGGGGGAGGTCGTCATCTGTGAAAGTGATGGATTCCCGCTTCCGCTTCGTGTCTCCGTAGTTGGGCCATGGTTAGAGTCCATGGTATCATCACCCATCCATAGGATTATTTTGATTATGTGGATGATATTTTGTGAGATTATGGTTGAGATGTTAGGATTATATGAAGAGATTATTTGATTAAAAAAATCTGGTCAAATTCTAAATCTGGACTATTTGAAGATTATTTCCGATTTTTAGGCACCACTCCCAATTTCTAGCTTGGAAGGTTGAAAAGTGCATGCAGTAGCACTACCATTGTAAAATTAAAAACGACACTACAATTAAATTGTGGACACTACACAATTTCAACTTCCCAACCCAATTAAATTGAAGTGCCACTTTTAAAATTCAAAATCCAATTTCTAGTGGATAAATATAATATAATTTACGTACTATATATTAGATATATAATAATAGTGTACATAGTGTACATATATAATATAGTGTGTGCATGTGGAGTGAATGTGCGTGTGTGAGTGCATTTAAGATGGAGATTTTGAAATTGAGTGTATGTCTAAAAACAATCTAGGTAAATTAAAATCATGGATGATGAGAAATTAATTGATTCGGAGATTATTTGAGATTATCTTATGTAGAAGTGAAATGGAAATAACAAGCTATAAAAAAACCGTAAAATTGAGGGGCATAATGAAAATGCTCTAAGAATTATTATGGAACATCAACCAAACATGCTGCTACCATGATATAAAAAAATCGCATGTTTCTTTGAATTGTTATAACCTCTTCATGGTTGATCTGATGTGTATATATATATATATATATATATATATATATATATATATATATATATATATATATATATATATATATATATATATATATATATATCAAAATGTATAATTTTATACGATCTTTCAAATGACATCAATACCGCTTGTATAAATTCAAAAACAAAACTAATTTTTTTAAACAATCTTCCCTTTTTCCATCCTCAAAATGGATTATTCCGTATTAAATTAAGAAATAACTCCTAAAATATGACCGGATAAGGGTGGCTGAAATGGGGGCAACAGGAGTGATAATTGCCTTCTCTGCCTCGGCGTGGGCTTGTCCTGCGCCGTGCTGCCTCTAGAGAATGCGGTCGCAGTTCGCTTCGACATATTAGAAACGGAGACCCATGTTGTTCACCGTGAGAGTTGGCTCTCTGTCCTGGGTGTTATTGCGCGGGACGACCGAAGTTTGATATGTCGCCGCGTGTCGGCGGTGCCTCGGAGCCTCCCCATGTCACGGGAACCTGACGACCTACCGATCCGTGTATGAATCGAGGTACGAGAAGCCTCAGTTTCATCAGTATGCTCCCTAAACGACTTCATTCGCCAAATCAGAGAGGGCGGTGTATGCTCGGTTTCTGCAGAATAGAAGACTGTTTTCTTTGTATCGTTGTGGTCAGTCATGCGCCACATGGCCTCTGCTAGTTCCCTCATGATCCGAGTGTCCCTTCTGGCCTCGATGGGGTCAAGATGTCACATCCCCGCCATTGCTTTACTGGGTCCATTCGCTGCCAGACGGCTCTACTGATGTCAGGGTGTGCGACTTTCTACTGTTTGCTAGCTTCTCGGAGAGTTCGGATTAGAATTTGACCATGTTTCTTGTTTGAAGAGTTCGAAAATATAAATGCTTAGCACAAGAGCTTGCTCGGGAAAGTTTTGTTCAAGTTCCCACAAACGGCGTCAATGTTGATGTTAATTCCACCCCAACGGCCCGGCCAACACTTTTCCTTGGGCTTTAATGGATATTTTAGTGAGTAAGTGAGCTGAGTTCTTATCAAGCAATAATGAACAATTACAGC